CTTAGCACTGCTTCCAGTTGAAGTAGTAGACGAGCTGGAACTTGGTGTCCGAGGAATCGAGCGCCATGACGGCCTTGCTTCCTTCCACCCTGACCACCGACTTGATATTGAGATTAGGAGTGTTGTTGCACTGGCTCCAGACAGACGTCGTGAAGTAGTCCGTGAACTCGAAGCTGTCGACATACTTGCCCGTGAGSGTGCGGCTGACACTGGGGGTGCCAGTCTGCCCCGAGAAGTAGAATTGCGTCTCGTAAACGCCCTTGGATCCTGCGGCAACGTCGGCGAATCCACGGCCGGTCACCTGCCCCAGCGTGTAGCTCCAGCCATCAGGATAATTCACGGACATGGAGATCTGGCACGCCTTCCGCTTATCCGCAAGCACTCCGTCGGTGGTGGCCACCATCCCGCCGAAGATGAAAGTGATCGTCTTCGAGTCGCTTGAGTAGACGTAGTTGCTGTTGCTCCAGCTGCACCCGGTCCCGCCAAATGTGACCCAATTAATGCTCACGGACGGGGGTTGCGCAAGTGCAGGTGTGGCAGCTGCAATCAGCAGAAGCAAGGCCGCCATAATCACAGTTGAAGATACGCCGTGCGCCATTGTCACCCTCGCTATGACGATCTCACTCGTCTCCGCCTCGAAAGCGCGACAGAAAACTACAACTTCCACGTGCTCCTTCCCAATCAGTTCCTACCGGCCCGCCTGCTCTCTCTCTCTCTCTCTCTCTCTCTCTCTCTCTCTCTCTCTCTCTCTCTCAACTCATTTCCACAGCGATTGCCTGCTCTTGCAGTCACGTTGCTGTCCGTTTCTTGTGCTTTGTCGGTGCTGCTGGCTGGGTCTATATATATGTATTCGTCGGCAAGTAGCGCACTAGAACCTCGTTACGGACCGATGATCAGAAGGTACCACGGCGCACTCTTCGACCTGACAGGGAAATGCGAATGCGTAGTGCGCGCTGAACTCGAACAGCCGTGGCAAAGGCCATGCTTACGCTCGTACTGTCCTGGACGTACTTGGGCAGCTTTCTTGTCCAGATACGGGCGAGTAAGGGCAACGTGCGTTTGCCGTAACGCATTCACTACCGCTCTCCGACGTGGTAAGATAGGACAGTGGCGATGGGGGAGGTTTGCAGAGTTGTTGAATGTCGGTGGGCGATGCCGTGTCGACACTCGACCACCTGTCATCACTAAACGAGGCCATATTAAAGCCGCCGTAGTTGCTTGCGTGTGACGAGCCCGCACGTGCCATTGCATGGGGCGTCATGATTCTCTGTTGCGTGTGACGCGTACAACCCCGCACGTGTGACGCTAACACCTTTCCCGAAACTATCGCTTGCGTGTGACGCGTACAACGTGCCATGCCATTGGGCAGGAATTTGGGTCTCGCTCCGCGACTCAGCAAATGTACAAAATCAGAACGAATCTTCGGCTAGAACACGGAAGGTACACCGCCATATTATTTTATTTTTCTTTACTTCTTATTATTATTATATTTGTTTTTTTTTAAGGGCAACGGCCTTGAGATATCATCATTGAGCTGACCGGCCCCAGGCAATTCACAAGTATTTGGTTTTACTCATCAATCTAGTTCCAGTATCCGGATTCGAACACCCGTCTGTATTTCAATAGTTTATGGGTGTACCCACTGAGCAAGGGCATTGATTTTTTTGGATAATTTGCAAAATACCCCCAGAAGTTGAGACATCTGCCAAAATGACCGTTAATGATTTAGATAGGCCGAATGCCCCTCTGACACAAAAAAAATGTTGTGGAATACCCCTGGCGTGGGTGGACACCCGTTCTTTGCAATATACCCCTACCCGGTTCCGTCTAACTTTGCCAAATGCCCCAGTACTTGTCCACTTCTCCTAGACGCTATTGCAAAAGGCCGGGGCCTAAACGGGGAGGTCCAGATTTCAAAGTTGCGGCCTGACAGGGGCACAGCAGAAAGATTTCGGCCCAAAAGGGCATTCCCCTCTACCCACATGTTTCAGGATCATTCTCGCATATAACTCAATTTGTGAGGATATTTTGGAAATTACGATTTTTCCTGTTTTTAATTCCGCTCTGTTGTAGAGGCCGAGGCCAAAACGGGGAGGTCCAGATTTCAAAGTTCTCTTCGCCTGACAGGGGCACAACAGAAACATTTCGGCCCAAAAGGGCATTCCGCTCTACCCACATGTTTCAGCGGCATTCTCGCATATATCTCAATTTGGGGTTATTTTGGAAATTACGATTTAATTATACCCCTGTTCCTGTTTTTAATTCCGCTCTGTTGTAGAGGCCAGTCACTGAGTACACAGTGATCACCTGGAGCACTACGCCGTGGGTGTCCTGGAATATGAGACCACCTCCCATCCCATCCTCGCTTCAATACTCCTAGCGCACCCCCTATCCCACTATCCTACCTCACTGTAACCTCAGTGTGACCAGCACTCAGGACCATTACCCTACCGATGCGCAGGTAACTGGGACAGAACAGCAGTGATAGGCACAAGGGCTGATAGGTTGCCCAGCGCTGGTGGAAGCGGAATTGGACGAGCCTTGTCGAACGGGAACTTCGGACGCCAGGCCCAGACAATCTACTACAGGCCCCAAGAGACTCTGGGCCCTAGGTTTCAGACAGGGTAGCACCCATTGAAGCAGTCTTACCGTCATTCCCCTAGCTTACCCAAGGCCAGGCGGAACTCGGACAGGGCCCTACGTTTCAGACAGGGTCTAAGCCTTATATATAGCCACTAGACAGTACTACCCGAATATCACTAGGAACTCCGGTGGCCCATACCTGTCCCTACCGCAGATACGAGACCCCACCCAGTGACTAGATCCCCCCAGTCTGATAGTTGTGTAGTCCGCAATGTATGTGTATACCCAAAGGCTGTGTATGCTTCGTGTATCTATGTATGAAGATGTACAGACAGTAGTATATGTGGAAACTTGTGTATGTAGCCCGTAGGCCATGTATAATTCGCAAGCAATGTGTATGCCCGAAGGCTGTGTGTGCTCTGTGAATCAGTGTATAGAGATGTATAGGCCGCATCATGTCGTATATCAAAGAGAGAACGGGGTAAGCTGGACAAGGACCCCCCAAAGTCCGAACCAAGCTCGAACCCGTGACCTTGTAACATGTAATCGAACGATTCTACCATGTGAACGACTGGTGGAAATGGCACGAAAATGTGATATGCCAGACTGGGGAGGTCAACAAAACACCCAAGACCAACGCCCCCACGCAACCCATGTGAAACCCAGAACCAACATACAACACCATGAACAACCCTTGGGTGGTGCGCAGGCAGTGTCTGTTGTAGTACCATGCGTCAGCCCAAGGGAGTGTGCCCAGCCGTGTGTCAATCTAACGCCCTGCTGGTGTCCATGCGCAAGGTTGCAATTGAGTATTGAACCCGCAACCTCATACCACAATGCGCATTTCCAACCAGTGCTCTGGTCTTGAGATATCATCACTGAGCTGACCGGCCTGGGGCAATTCAGAAATATTTGGTTTTACTCATCAAGTTCCATCATCTGGGTTCGAACACCGGTCTTTATTTCATCAGTTCAAAGGTGTACCCACTGAGCTAGGATCTTGGTTTTTTTCCTTTGTTTTTTTGTCTTTTTTGCATGTGGTGAGTAGTGGAGCAAGGCCCTTAGAGGCTCGCCACACAGGCTGTGGAAACTCAAACAATTTCGACAGGTGTCAGAATAAAATTGAAAGCCGGCGGTGGACAGTTTACCCCCCCCTTCGCCACACAGGTGTTGAGGGGCAAGGTTTTTGGTCATGGCCGTCACACAAAAGTCCATGACAATTCAAATTCTGACACCTGTCAATTTTTTTCTAGCCGCACGTCTTCAAAAGTCTGTGTGGTAATGCGACAGCCTGTGTAGGGAGCCTCTTAATTTTTTATTTTGTTCTCACTCCAGATAAGTTCGCTCTCAACGACCGCCAAGAAAGCTAGGCGGCTGGATACAGCGCGGCTCCTTTTTTTTTTTTTTTTTTTTTTTTTTTCCCAAGGTTTTTTTTTTTTTTTTTTTTTTTTTTTTTTTTTTTTTTCCCAAGGCTTTATATTACCACTGACAAACAATAGAGGCTGAGGTCCTCACAGTCTACCCGGGATTCTGGGAGCATTACCCAGTTTTACTTACGGGGTGGCACCACACCCCAAGGGGACCAACCCCCTGGACTCGCAAGTGCAATAAATCAAAACTAGTCCCAACCGGCATACCTATCCCTAGTGCGGGCCAGGGGAGCACTTAACAGCCAATCGTCCAATCCTAACTTTCCATCTTGGATCTTGGCCAACCTCCCCAAGATCGTCCAGGTTTCTCTGAACCAGCTAAGGCCTGCGGCTCTCTTGCCTGTCGAAGTTACCTTGCGCCTCCAGTCGGACTTGATGCTTCTTCTGACTTGACAGAAACCAGCCTTCAAATACACTTTTGTTGCGTACCTCCCAGATAACCAAAAAAAGACAAGCTCTAAGAGTTTGAGCAACATAACCCAAGCCCTTGTCTATAGCAAAACCTCCAGGGACACCGCCGAACAGGATCCAGCGGTCCCAGTGTTCGAGGCACCAAGCTACAAAACACCCGCGACCGCCGTCACCGCGGGCACGACCGCGGCCCGCCAAGGCCGATGGGAAAGGGGGTTGGGGGTGGGGGTTTTGGATTGGGGTACCGGGCCCCCGACCCTACCCTGTCGAACCAAAAAAAAAATTAAAAATAATTTTCGGGGGGTCATTTTTGGTGTGTGAAAAAATGAATAACATACAATCTAGGCTACCAGAGTGGCCCGGGGTCACTTGCCTGGCCGGGCCAAAACCATAAAAATAAATCAAAATAAAAAATTATTTTTATATTTTATTTTCTATTTTGAATTTGGTGACGAATTTTGATGTCACCCTGAGGCAAAAGTTATTCAGTTTATTTTTCTGCATAACATAAACTGTTAGTGGATTTCTTGGATTTCTTTTTTTCTTTTTTTTGCTTGGCCCTTCCCTGGTCCTTGCACGGGCTGGCCACTTGGGACCCGTGTGACGCGCCAACTTACGGACCTGCGCTATCTTCCCCCCCCCCCCTCCTTCTCTGTCTTTTTGTCGAATTTTGGGTGACCATCCGACGAGGCCTCTTTTTGTATTTTCATGAATGCAATATGTGGGACCCTCAGATCAATTTTTTGTCTTTTTTTGCAAATTGGGAATTACATGGGAATTACGCGTGCCTTGGCGAGCGCGCTAGGAATTTGGCTCGACGGTTGGGACTTTCGGAATAGGCGGAATCCGACGTGTCCTGTCTTGCACATGAATGTTCTCAACTTCGTCTTGGAATGCTCTGGGAATTTGCGCAGAAATCTGAATAGGCATAGGACTTTCCCACGCGCTCGCTTTGCCACGCGGATATGGTACTTTTCAAATTGAATTAGCCATAACTGTTTCGGTGCCCTTTTTGCCTTCGCGACGACACCATGCATGCGAGCCTCCCCTCTCCCTGGTAAACCCGCTGCCCTCGACACTCCCTTCCTCGCGCTCATGCTCCCTCTCTGTCTGTAACCGTTTTCCATCTCCCCATTGCCTCGCGCGCCTTTTCTCTCCTTCTTGATCGTATGAATTTTGGTTCCGTTTCGCGTTATTCTTCGCG